TTGCTGTCTCTGCTGGAGTCGTCTTTTCACCTCCTGTTCTTCTTGATCAAGAATTTGGTGTAGCCTGACAAATTCAGCTTCCATATTTTTTGTGAGCTCCTTTATCTTGCCCTGCAACAATAACAATGCAGCATTAAACTCATCTTCAGTCTAAAGCAGATGATGGACTCCAATTATGAGAGGATTGAATGAAAAAGTAGAGCGAGACCAGCTCTTAACTTCCTATCTCAAAAGTATTGAGTCAGAGTGTCTTAGAGTTAAACAAAGCATATAGGAGAAAACAATTGACCAATTAATTTTATTCATTCATTGAATCTGACCGTTGCTGGAAAGCTGAGCATTTGTTGTCTGTTCTTAACTGCCCTTGCAAACACGATGGTCAGCTGCCTTTTTGAACCACAGCAGTCCCTCTGGTGTAGGTACACCTGCAGTGCTGTTAAGCAGGGGAGTTCCAGATTCTTGATGCAGTGACAGTGAAGAAACAGCAACGTAGCTCCAGTTGTGATATGTTCTGGATGGGGACAATTCATCTCTTAGGTCTCATTAGCTGAGATACAGACTCATTCATGTCACGGTAGTTTGTAACTTATTGTATTTCTGAAAATCAGATTAAGAGAACAACAACCAACTTTGCTTGATATCCATGCCAGAAGCCATAAATTTAGTTCTCTGACATGGTCATGGGGCTATCCACATTCTTCCAAACATTAACCCTGTCAGGTCCATATACAACATCTCCTCCCAAGTCCTGGGCCTCCTCCAGTGTCATAATAACGCCACCCGGAAACTGGAGGAGAGCACCTTATATTCTGCCTTGGGAGACTACAGCCCAAAGGCCTAAATGAGGATTTTACCAGTTTCAAAATCTCCCCAGCCTCTGTCTCATCCCATGACCAACCCTCCCTTTCATCCCTACCTCCTTGACCTGACACAACCTGTCCATCTTCACTCCCACCTATCTGCTCCTCCCACCTCACTGACCAATCCCCACCACTCTCTACCTGCACTCACCTATCACCATCCCACCTACCTTCCCTAGCCCCACCCCTCCTCTCTCTATTTCTGAGCTCCCTTTCCCCTCCCCCATTTCTGAAGAAGTGTCCCGACCCATAACGTCAACTTTCCTGCTCCTCTGATGCTGCCTGGCCTGCTGTGTTCCTCCAGCTCCACACTGTTACCTACTAGATAAGATCTTGGTTGATTTTCAACTCGCTAGATAATTGTACCTTCTTTGTTTTGATCTTGCACTCGAACCTTCCCACAGCTTTGGAAGGTTCCTAGTGCAATACCTTCTGTTACAAGTTGTGATGGAAAACTTTATTTGTATCTTTTTTTTGGGCTGAGCAAGCCAACAATCTATGACTGACAGCCTTTACAGAGCAGTTTCAAGATTCACTAGGTGGCAGTATTTAGTTCTGCCCAGCAACAGAGGAGGGGCTTTTTGTGAGGGCTATAATGGGACACTTCAGAGTCAGTGGGGTTTAAAGGTTGCAGATAGGTGGCAAAAGAGACAGAGACAGAAGCAGGCTCCACATTGGAAATGCTGGGCAGGTAGACGAACTCATGTGAACTGCACAGATCCTGTACCGAGGACCAAGTGAGGGGTCCAGAGCGGTTGTATGGCTTTTTGCTCAGAGGAAGGGTCACCGGACCCGAAACGTTAACTCTGTTTTCTCCTCCACAGATGCTGCCAGACCTGCTGAGCTTTTCCAGCAACTTTGTTTTCGTTCAAAGTCTATTTGCCTTGTGTCTTTGATCCATGCAAGCTTTTTTTAAATAAAGTGTTGATGTTCCCCATTATAGAGGCAAAGGTGGATATCCCCACGCTAAGAACACGATCTAAGAACCCCTCTGGTTGAGTCTGCTCAATCAGTTCTTTGGCATTTACAGAAACAGTTAAATGAGTAACACAACAAAGAAAGGTCAAGAATTCCTATCCCCGCCACCCTCCTCCCACCTCCCACCTCCCCACGATCCTTCAAAAGGAAGCTGGGTCCCACCTTGGCGTGCCTGCCTCTTGCGTTCCGGTGCTGAGACTCGTTCGAGGTCCCGCACAACGGGTCGAGTGCCTGGCCGTGTCCTCCATCTCTCAGCGCGGCCGTCAGAGAGCGGACAGTGCCCACGATATTGGCCATCCGTCTGTCGGGCCTGAGTGCCCTCCCCGGCAGCCGGAGGCGGCATTCCGGGCAGGAACAGTTCCCACCCTCCCAGAAGACCAGAATGCAGCCTCTGCAGAAAACGTGCCCACAATCCAGGGAGACCGGCTCTTCAAAATACTCCAGGCAGATGGAGCAGGAGACGTCTTTGCTCAAGTGCTCCAGGTGCTTTCTCGCCTCCATTGCGAAGATTTTTTTTTCTCTCTCTGATCACTACTTTCGCTTTCCCCAGGAAGAAGGGGTGTGGGGGAAGAGGCGGTGTCATTATTTGGAGATGTTAAAACAAAATTAAAAATCGTACATACTCATAGAGGCTGGTCAGAGGCTTGCACTTTGTCTGTTCTGGTATTGTGTGTGTGTGTATTTTGCTGGGTTTCCCAGATGCAGTGTTATCTGGGGTTCGCTCCAATTATAATTTCGTGGAATCAACACATTCGCAAAAGGCGGGTTCAAAACCAACAGCCTCAGGGAGCCGTAGATTTATTTTACGAAGCATCAAAGTGTGGCTGTGGTGGATGAGAGGTCATGTTTCGGGTAGTATAATATAGGGAGATGGGTTCAAGCCCCACCGTATTTTTTTTAATTTCAAAGTTATAAACACTGCACTGGAAGTTATCTATAGTCACCATCATCCATTGTCATGGCAAAACAAAATCACTTATGTTCATCTGAAGAAGTCATACTGGTCTCTTTCTGTCTCACCACAAGAATGTCTTAGTATGGTCACAACTGACTGAGCTAGCTCAGAACTGAAGGGTATAGTTGCTGGACCAGGCCTAGGCTAAGCTTAGGACTGCAGATAACTAAACAACTCACCATGGGAGAAGGCTTCACAGACATATCCTTCCTCAAGGATATTAGAACTCAGGCATGCGTGTGGTACAGTGGTTAACACTTCTGTCTCACAGTGCTAGGGACATGGATTCAATTCCAGTCTTGGGTGACTGGCTGAGTGGAGTTTACACATTGTCTCTGTGTCTGGGTGGGTTTTTGCTGTGCTCTCTGCATTTGTCCCAAGACGTGCAGGTTAGGTGGATTGGCCATGGTAAATGTGGGGCATTGGAGCCGGGTGGGATCCATTTTGGAGGGTCAGTGTAGACTTGATGGGCTGAATGATCTCTCACCACACTGCCAGAATTGTATTCTATGACCGGCACAAAAGATGAGACTGAACAATTTCTAGCCACCTTTAGTCAGAAGAAGCAAGTGAGTGATCCATTTTGGCCTTGTTCTTAGGTCAGCAGCATTACAGATATCAGTCTTCAGCCAATTCGATTCACTCCACTTGATATCCAGAAATGGTTGGAGGCACTGGATATGGCAAAGATTGAGCCCTGGCAACATTCTGGCCATAGTATTGAAGACTTCTGCTCTAGAATTTTCCACTCCCCTAGCCAAGCTGTTCTAATACAGTTGTAACAGTGGCATCTACCCGACTGTGTGAAAACTCCCCAGGTTTGTTTTGCAAACAAAAAGCAGGACAAATCCAACCTGGTCAATTACCGCCCCATCATTCTACCCTCGATCATCAGTGAAGTGATGGACGGAATCACCAACAGTGCTATTAAGGGTCGCTTGCTTAGCAATAACCTGCTTAGTGATAGTTCAAGTTCTACCAGGGCCGTTCCTTTGTTTGACAGCCTTGGTTCAAATATGGACAAAAGAGCTGAATTCCAGAGGTGAGGTGAGTGTGACAGCCCTTGACATCAAGGCTACATTCAACTGAGTGTAGCATCATGGAGTCCTAGCAAAACTGGAATCGGGGCAAATTTTCTGCTGTTTGGTGTCATACTTGGCACTTAGGAAAATGGTTATGGTTATTGGAGGTCAGTTATTTCAGGTCCAGGACATCACTGCAGGATTTCCTCAGGGAAGTATCCTAGGCCCAACCATCTTCAGCTACTTCATCATAGGCTCAGAATTGCACAACTCTTCAGCACAATACACAACTTCTTAGATACTCAAATGCAACAACATCTGGACATTATCCAGGCTTGGGCTGACAAGTGACAAGTAACATTCACATCACACAAATGTCAGACAATAATCATCTCCAGTAAGTGTCAATCTAACCACTGCCCCTTGACATTCAATAGTATTACTGTCACAGTATCCATTCCCCCCAACCCCAACTATCATCATCCAGAGGTTATCATTGACCAGAACCTTAACTACATTTGCCATATGAATACTGTAGCCACAACAGTAGGTAAGAGACTAGGTATACTGCTGTGAGTAATTCACTCCATGACTCTCCAAAGCCTGTACACCACTTACAAGGCGTAAGTCAGGAGTGTGATGGAATACTCCCCACTTGCCTGGATGAGTGCAGCCCCAACAACGCTCAAGAAGCTTGACACCATCCAGGATAAAGCAGCCTGCTTGATTTGCACCACATCCACAAGCATCCCCTTCCTCCACCACCGACGTTCAGTAGCAGCAGTGTGTACTATCTACAAGTTGCACTGCAGCGATTCAGCAAAGATCCTTAGACAGCACCTTCCAAACCCATGGCTTGTACCATCTAGAAGGACAAGGGTAACAGATACATGGGAACGTTCCCTTCTAAGCCACTCACCATCCTGACTTGGAAATATTATATCATTCCTTCACTGTCGGCCCGCTGGGTCAAAATCCTGCAACATCCTCCCTTATGGCTTTTTGGGTGTCCTTACGCTAATGGGCTGCAGCAGGTCAGGAGGAAGCTCATTACCACTTCCTTTAGAGCAAGTAGGGACTGGCAATAAGTGCTGACCCAGCCATTGACACACAGTGAAAAAAAAAAAGACGTGACTATGGTTCAATATAATATTTCCTTGGCCTGCAATAAACAATAACATTTTAGAAGTACATCTATAGCCTTTTAATAATATTTAGGCATCTCCTTACAACGCCAAAGCATAAAAGCTGAGGGCCAAGTCTGGAAAATAGGACTGAATTCGATGAAGGATCTAGGCCCGAAACGTCAGCCTTCCGGCTCCTATGATGCTGCTTGGCCCGCTGTGTTCATCCAGCTCTATACCTTGTTATCTCGGATTTTCCAGCATCTGCAGTTCCTACTATCTCTGAATAGTTAGGTGGTTCTTTTTGGCAGGACGTGATGGGCCGAATGCTCTTTTTCTCGGCTGTAGATCGCTATGATTTTGGGCCTGTGTGAAGTCGCAAAAGGGCGCTAGAGAAACGCAGGTGCTTATTTTCAAATAGTACATGCCTGCATGCACCACACCCCATTCTAATTGTGCTAACGCTGATATCTGAACGCACTTCCCCGTTGCAAAATCCCGGTGTGTTGTAAAGTCGAAAGTTCCTGATAAATTCAGGCGTGGGTAGGAATCGCAGAATCTAGGATTCTTGCAAAAGGGAGTATCAACGTTGTTTTTTTGCAAATAGGGGAGTGCGGGGCAGAGGCAGCCGGCTCAGAGGAGTGTATGGCAATCTACAATTTGTTTCTGTCAAGCGATGTTTGCAGTTAAAAGGCGTCGCTATCTCTTCTCAAATAGCAAAGAGACGGAACAAAGAGAGACGGAACAAATAGAGGCGAGCTCCCCCGCCCCATTTCTCCGGCCAGTGACTTCCTGGTCTGTTGTGAAACTGAGTCGTCATGGCGTCCTTACGAGTGCTGGAACGTATGAAGGATGAGGCGGTCTGCTCAATCTGCTTGGACTTTTACAACGACCCGGTGACCATAGACTGCGGCCACAACTTCTGCCGAGACTGCATCCAAAACTATTGGGCGCCGGTGCGGGGCAAGGTGACATGCCCGCAGTGCCGGACCCAGTTCACCCAGAGGAACGTCAGGCCCAACCACTTCGTCTCCAACATCGTGGAGAATGTGAGGAAACTGAGCCTGGGCCAGGGGGAAACGCCGTCACTGTGCCCCGAGCACGACGAGAAGCTCAAAATGTTCTGCAGGGACGACCAGAGGCCCATCTGCGTGGTGTGCTCGGTGTCCC